TCCATATCATTCCACCTATATTCCCTCCCTCTCATCATGATTCACTCTGTTGGTTTAATCTTGGCAATACATTTGCATTTCAAAATCATGGATTTCTTAAGGAATATACGATTATTTTAGTTGCACAGCTAGATACAAACACCTGTAGATTAATCACAGCTGAGATTTTCTTTTCAAGAAAAACCTTTTACCACTTCTACCATACTTGTTCTGTCAGAGACACCAGCAGTACACACAAATTTCTGGATTTCTCTGAATTTAATCTTGGTAAGATGTTCTCTCAACAAAATGTGCTATTGATTTTTGAGGGGAAAAACTCTGATCTTTATGTCTTATTTAATTCCTGGATGGCACAACATCCTGAGGTATTGCTATCTCACAGCTCAGAGAACTAGGTTTTCTTGATGGGCAAACATACTATGGGCCTTCTATCTGACTAGGATGTTCTTTCCCACAAACAAGGGCTGGATTCTACATTTAGATGGTGAATGTTCAGTTCCTTCCTTAGAGCATAATGTAGCATTCTACTAAGTAACAGAACTTCCTTTTTTTTTTTTCTTTTCCCTTCATGTACTTCAAACCTGATCTAACCACCCAGAGCTCTTTGAAGTCAAAGGAAACTCTGAACCCAGGGAAACTCTGATGTCTGGGGCAGAGACTCTTAAGATAAATGAGACAAACAGGAATGTTAGGAGAAAAAAAGAGGTTGAATCCTTTGAGTATTTTGCACCATGTTGATGGCCCAGTGGTTCAGAAAATCGTGTACACAAATCAGCAAGTCATGATTGGGAAAAAGAACAGAGTAATTATACAATAGCAAGTGAACTCTCTAGACCAGGATATGAAAGTTCATACAACAATGTAACAATTATTTTGTCTTGATTGGAGACGCCGAGTAACTAAGGGTCAAAAGGCATAAAACCTAACCTTGAACTTATCACTTGTTTTGGTTTTCTCATCCCAATAGGATATTGGAAAGATTAATAGTTTAGATTTTTGCCTTTAAAGTTCCTCAGCTCTGGGAATATTAACATTTATATTTATAATAAATTGATTGTATTATGGTACATATAAAGTAATCAAAATCAAACTACACATTAAATTGCTGTACCCTGGTCTCAAATACTTGTAACCCAACTCTGGCATAACTCTGTGAAATCTCTGCATTGCTTCCATGCAAAATGAGAAAGTGCACAGGCTAAGATTAACTACTTAAAGCTAAAAACATAGAGAGGCTATTTTTAAAATTGATCCATTGATGCTTGGAAAGAAAGAATCATAGGATATAATTTATTTTCATTCAGGGTATTTTATCAAGTCAGAATAGGCTATGAGTCATGCATTTATAAATAAAATATTAAATATGTAAACTGTCTAACATATTTATTAAATTTACTTGCAAATATTAATAGTGTTTAAATCACTCTTAACACAGACATACTTCACACATACCAGACATAACTTACTCGCTCTAAAGTATTTACACAGCTGTAAAATCCCCAAATTAACTATCAATCAGGAAAAGTAAAAATATTGCTATGAGAACAAGAATATGAGATTTAAGCAGCTGGAAAAGAATTACAAAGGACTTCCTATAACGTGACTTTAGATGAGATCAAGTTTGCCGTTGATTTTTTTTTTAAGTAATATTGTTTTAACATCTTTCTAAACATAACAGTTTCACTAATTCAGCAAAGTAATTGGCCAACTCATCTATCTTCACCACTATTGTCCCTAAATTTCAAAACGCCCAGGTGGAAAATAATTACTTACATACACACATAAGCAAACAATATTGTGACCTTAATATTGTAACCTCCAATTTGAAAGTCTCCTTTTTTTCCTAAAGGAAACAGTCAATGTAAACTCAACTACGTGGGTCTTAGAAAATCTATTCTGGTTTAAATTTAGATTTAATAATAACAAAATATTGTCGAATATCATATAACAGCTATTTCTGTTTATAGACAAAGGTGGACTGAAGACCATGACTCTTGAGAAAATTATATTTATGAACAATAATAGCCATGAAGATATTAGCCATTTGGCTTTTCATCTTTTGAAAAATTTCTCATAAAATGCAAAAAGAAAAACTAGCTCTCTTTGCATTTTTCATAAAGTTAAGCACATGCTATTTTGATTTAAGCTGCACTGGAAGTAAGTTGTGAAATATATGAATTTTGCCAAGGACACAGAAGGCAATTTAGTCAAGAGTAATTGTGTCAACTTCTAACTCAGAGTAAATTTGATTTTTTGAGCATTGAAAGTTAGGTCATAGTGGGTTTTTTAAAACCTACACTTGTTTAATAATGATGGTTGAATTTTTATACTAAAACATTTATCATAGTCAAAATATTACTTGAGTTTTTTATTCCATTAAACAAATGGCTTAGGGTCAATAAATGAAAGGAAAATTTCTTTTGTTTCTTTTTATGTTTTACAGTTTTATTATAAAACTAATATAATTTGAAATAAATGTTTCAAAGGAAACAGCTAGCAAACTCCTGACTCATACCTATCCTCAATATTACATATTACTATGGAGATTTGGGGCAAATGTATCAATACATATATTTGCATATAGTAGCTATCACATTAACTATAAACTTTTACAAGGTACTTATTTTTTTCTTCTCGTTTCCTCTAGTTAATCTAAAATTCTCATCAGGATCTCTTAACTCAAATGCATGAGAGGTAATATTTACCAATAGTCTTTTTTGTGTAATGCTCTTTGGCAGGCATAGATGCATAATTATTAATCCTATTTTAAAGATAAGAAAACTAAGGCTCAGACACATCCACTCAATAGATAATAAAACTAGAACCCAAGCAAAATGTGTTCAACATCAAAGCCTTTATGCAATAGACTAGTGCTTTGTGGGCTGTCTTACACTTGACAGTCTTATAATTCTCTTCAGGGATCTTAACTTCTGTTTTAAAAAGCAAAAGTTGACAAAATAAACAAAATCAGAAAACTGTGCCTTAGTAGAGTTGTTTATTCTTTGTTACTAGGAAGGATTCAAGATCTTAATGTGGAGGCAATGAGCTCTCTTTCCTCAACAATAGATAATACAAACAGAGGTTGCAGGAAATATACAAGCATTATTAAGATAATGCTTTCAAAAATCTGGGCACAACCCTTTTTTTCCCTCTGTTAATTATTTTAGAGTGAATTTTCTATGCAAATTGTCCTCCTACTATGCATTATGTTTTCTCATTAGTGAACTGAAGTAAAAGCCAGTTACATTACAATGGAGGACACAGCAGAAGAAAAATCAGTTTCCTAACAGTCCTAACATTGTCTGCATTTTCATAAGCGATCTCTTCGTGTCTAAGCTACGCATAGTGAACCAAAGTGAGAGAGCATTAGACTTGGAAAGAGGACGTCTACGTCAAGTTCTTGCTCTATCACTTACTAGCTGCGTGATCGTTCATAAATCATTTAGTCTGCATCTAAATGCAGGAAAAAAAAAATGAACTCAATGGTTCCCAAACTTTGCTACACATCAGATTCACCTGCAGAGCTTTTTAGACATCCCAATCCCCAGGTCCTTCTCCATAGGGATTAAATCAGAATGTTCAGGTAAAGGAGCCAGGCCTCATAGTTTTTAAAGATCTTCAGGTGATTCCTCTGCACAGCAAGGTTTGGGAGCCAATGAGTTAATTAACATTTTCACAGAGCTTCTTTTATTTTTTTAAATTTTTAAATTAAAAAAAATTTTTTAAACATCTCTATTGGAGTATAATTGCTTTACAATGGTGTGTTAGTTTCTGCTTTATAACAAAGTGAATCAGCTATATGCATACATATATCCCCATATCCCCTCCCTCTTGTGTCTCCCTTCCACCCTCCCTATCCCACCCCTTTAGGTGGTCACAAAGCACCGAGCTGATCTCCCTGTGCTATGCGCCTGCTTCCCACTGGCTATCTATTTTACATTTGGTAGTGTATATATGTCCATGCCACTCTCTCACTTTGTCCCAGTTTACCCTTCCCCCTCCCCGTGTCCTCAAGTCCATTCTCTATGTCTGCGTCATTATTCCTGTCCTGCTTTTAAGATGGAAAAAAAAATGAAGAGGCTTTGTATGTTATGTAATACTTTACAGAGCAATATAAAATATTATCCCCAAACTAACTACAGCGCTATAAAAAGAAACCCATTGTTTCAGGGAGCTTTATCTTTTGTTTAGATTTTAGTTCAGTAATCATAAAGAAATTTGACATAAATAATAAGTTTTACTTTTTTTTTGCCAGAGTTGCAGAAAGCTTAACAGCTTTTCCTTTTCCTTTTAAGCTGACTTCAACAATATTTTAACCTCATTTTTTCTTACCTCTTTTTCTTCTGTCTAAAATTAAGGAAAGTAAAAAAAAATAAAATTAAGAAAACTGTCATCTACCTTGTTCCTTTCAAAAAATATCAAACACCACACTTTTATTATGTGTTTATAATAACCAGGAAAAATATTAGAACAATGTGCAGAAGGGAAATATGAGCAGTCAGAAAGAAAATAATTTGTTCAAAGTTACTTAGTACTTACGTACTTAATACTTAATACTACTTACTTAAAAAGAGCAAAATATTACACACTCCAGATATTTTGTTCCAGTATTCAGTCTTAATCTATCTGGAAACAAAGACCTATTCAGTAAATCTTTCTTGGCCAGATTTTGTTCGTTGCGTGATGACATAAGTTATTTCTCTGTTAAAATTTTAATCAATATATCAGATTCAACCAGTTTATATACAGCATTTGTTTTGTATTAATACCATCAACCTCCATAACCTTCTATTTAATTAGACTTATTGAAAGGATTATGTAATTTATGTAATTAGAGTGCAAACAACACATTACCTAATTAAAAAGCACCCTCTGTGTTTCATTGTTAATAGAGGACTTAATGCATCCATTCACAACAAAATCCTCAAACTCAATTCATAAGCTACTACAAATGTAATCCACCATCTGACAGTGACTGATTTTGCCTTGGGATCTTTTACCTTGGCGGGCTTGTTAGCATCCATGCTCTCTTTGAATTTCTCCTGCACAGTTTCTACAAGTTGACAGAGCAAGGCACCATTATCCAATTTCTCCATAAAAGTTTCTGCCGTAATCTCCTTCCCTGAAATAACAAAAAGAAGCATTATAAAAACACAATCATTCCCCAACCCAAATGTGACATTCATGCCAACATATGCAGTTTTTATCACCAAAATTCCAACTCTAGCTGAGTTACATATCTGAGATAGGAAATCACTGGAAAGAATGGTTTCTTTGGAATTTTACGTTTTTCAGTTACTTTGGCCTGTAAGGCAAGAGCATAAAGCAAAACTGGTATTTTGTGTTGTGTATACGTCTTTCATCACAAGAACTCCATAGCTCCCCTTTAATATAAAATAGAGCCATAGTATATCAAAAATCAACCACCACTGGCAATTTTAAGAGTGTGGCCAATGCATAAAACCACATCTCTATGGGCTTCCCTGGTGGCGCAGTGGTTGAGAATCTGCCTGCCAATGTAGGGGACACGGGTTCGAGCCCTGGTCTGGGAAGATCCCACACGCCGCGGAGCAACTAGGCCCGTGAGCCACAACTACTGAGCCTGCGCGTCTGGAGCCTGTGCTCCGCAACAAGAGAGGCTGCGACAGTGAGAGGCCCGCACACCGCGATGAAGAGTGGCCCCCGCTCGCCGCAACTAGAGAAAGCCCTCGCACAGAAGGGAAGACCCAACACAGCCAAAAATAAATAAATAAAATTAAAAAACAAAAAACAAAAAAACACATCTCTAAATTCCATTGAGTTTGTTTTCCTGATGAAGATAATACAGGTAAAATTAATGCAAGTAAGAAACTCTCTATAAGAAAACACTGCCCCTCTAACCACTCTTCCCCTTCCTGATGCAGTGCTTGAACTGTGGAATTATTAGGTTCAGATCTCTCTGCTTTTTTTTTTGTCTCCTCACAACCACTCACAGCTTCAATTACTGCTCTTATGAACATGATTCACAGTTGTCCATCCCTGCCATTTTATTGGTTAAAAGTTATTTTTCTTCTTTCTTATATGCTCCCAAAGTATATTTTCTTTCTTCTTTTTTTTCTTTTACTTTGTAACAGCTTTATTGGGATATAATTCACACCCCTTACAATTCACCTCTTTCAAGTGCATAATTCAATGACTTTTAGTATATTCACAGGGTTGTGCAATTACCACCACAATCAATGTTAGTACGTTTTTATCACTCCCCAAAGAAACTGTACCCTTTAACTATCACTCCCTGTGGCTCCATTCCCCACCCCCCCAGGCTCTATAAAATCATTAATTTCTTTTTTGTATGTTCCTCAAAACTCCTTTCCCTAAGCTCTCTCCTTTTCCTGGTGTTGTACTTCTCTAAGTTTCAGAATATTTTATTTCCCTGTCTTAATTTCCTATAACTTATTAGTCACAAGTCCTGTAGATTCATGCTTCCTTCTGTTTCTAGAACCATAATCTTAATTTAAAAAATTCATGGGGGCTTCCCTGGTGGCGCAGTGGTTGAGAGTCCGCCTGCCGATGCAGGGGACACGGGTTCGTGCCCTGGTCCACGAAGATCCCACATGCCGCGGAGCGGCTGGACCCATGAGCCATGGCCGCTGAGCCTGCGCGTCCGGAGCCTGTGCTCCGCAACGGGAGAGGCCACAACAGTGAGAGGCCCGCATACCGCAAAAAAAAAAAAAAAAAAAAAATTCATGGTCTGATACCTAAACTCTAGCAGCAAGAACAATGGTTAGTCCTCGTATCCTCAACGTCTGCCTCCAGAACATACCATAATCACTGCTAAAATTAATATTGCTAAACACCACCCTCACTGAGCCAATCTTCAACTTTACTGCATAGTCCCTAATCTTCTCCTCTACGTAAAAGATGAAACAAACCCGCTTTAACCCAATATCCAAAGTCCTCTCATATGCCACTAATCCACCTTTCTATTCTACCTTGCTTACACCCTGCTCCTTGGTCTGCACCCTGCCTTCCTAGTTCCATGGGCAGATCTTCCCGTTTCCACTCCCATGCCTTGGTCCAGGCATGCCCCCTTCCTATAACAGCCCCCTATCTTCTATCTGCCTGGCCACATTCTACTTTCCCTTTAATCAGAAATCCAGAAAGAGATTCTCCCAGTGTACATCAATCTCCTTCTTATATGGTCATACTCAGGAGTATCACTCACTCTGGCACTCATCAAACTTCTTCTGTGGCTAATAACATGCTTTGTACAAAGTTCCTGTCATCACCAGTACATTAGAAACCTCTTGAGGTATATTGTTTTGTGTGTGTGTTACTACAGAGGTAAGCATAATGTTACTTACATAGAAGGTACCTAGTAAAACATGTTTAGTGAGTACGTGGATTGACAAATGAAGAAACAAACTCTTGGAAAGCTTTGAGAAAATGTTGGGTATTATTTCCGTGAAAAGTAGTTGTTAAAGCAAAAAGAAAAAAAGGAGGTATTTTAAAATTTTATACTGAGAGTCATAGGATTACCTCTTATCTTAAGAAAAATGCATGCAGCTCAATTCCATGAACACTTAAGATAAATGTAAACCAACTGGAACAACAGATATACTACTGGCTTAAAGTTAAACTCTAATATCTAATATATTTGTTTTTTAAGAAACATCTGTTTGAAATGATTTTTTTACAGTTTGGGGGGAAGGGCAGGTGAAGGAGGAAAAAGAATTACTTTTTTTATGTTCTTTTTTTCCCTACTGGATAGTTCACATTTTAGCCCTCAGTTAGGATAATGACTTCTGCAGGTGGCAAAACATCAGTAGCTCTAAGTACTCACCACAGAGGTAGCCTATACAGAGCTATTAGTATTTCAAAATTGTATGCAGCTCAACTCAATTAAGGAATGAAAGTAATAGTCTCAAGATACAAAAAAGCCAGCACAACAGAATTTGTATTATGCATTCACCATATTGGCTTGCATTTTCTAATGATAATAAGAAAGTTATTTACAAACAAGCATAAAATTAAATATTAGAAATATTTTTTAAATTATCAATTACATTTCAAGGTAAAGAAGGTAAACTTTACCTAAACTGTTGAATGATTCCTTTATAAATTACTTATAAGATTTTCTACATTTGGAAGAGGTCTTTAGGTATTATTTCATTAAGCTACTTGAAAATTTAAAGATTCTATTCATAATGTCAAGTGATGAGATGATTACAATAAATTTACAAGAACTTGTAAATTATAAAAAGAAAAATGGCTTTCATTAGAAAGTCATTAGCAATTTACCAAAAGGAATGATTTTTACTTTTTCTGCATTATACCTGAACAATTTTTTGTTATCCTCCTTTTCATGAATACTTGAGGAATTTAACATTGAACATCTGTACCTAATGAAAAACGTATTAGGTCTCAGCTTTCAATTCTGTATATTTTATAGCTCCAAAAGGTAGGATTTTTTTTTTTTTTGGCTAAAGCAGACACTATTACATACTTTATGGTTGAAATGTACTGACTCAAATGAAGGAAAAATGCAAGACAGAGAATTTTTTTTAAACCTTCATATGTAACATTTTCCATCCAATGATTAAGAATCATAAAATATACATTTTAAATGTACTGTATAATTTTAAGAAATCAGTTATAATCCTTATATGGGGTGATATATTATCATACTCTTTATTCTATTAATATTACCAAAAGTATATAAAAAACTGAATATAAAGTTGGCTGAATTTAATCATGACGAATCCATCAGAATAGGCTATGAATTACTAATTACAGTTTCTCAAGTAAAAGCTATACACAGTTCAATCTCTGTCAGACAGAACCAGATCTTCTTTAATATAAATTGTGTAGCTGGTTTGAGACATTAGACTATAAATGCTAGAAACAGTAGGATTCTAGTAGCATAGAATCATTTCTTCCCCAATCCCATCTTTCCACGTTTTTGGTATATTTAGTGAAAGAAGGGGCAATGAACAGACACAATTAAATCACCTTGGAATGCCGACACATACTGGGTTGTCTTTATTATTGACTTGAAGGTCAACCCAAAATAGCCAAGTCTAGAAAGAATATCTTTACTTACTGGGTTCATAATTGTGAACTTAGATCTTCACATCATCAATTCAGTCATGATTTGCCAGTAGACAGAGATCAGGTGGTTTGGTTAAATATTGTGATTTGTCATTTCCTCTTAAAATATGAGGACACAATGATATGAAATAATCGTGTACCTGAAATATTTTGTCAGGTAACTAAAATCAACACACATACTTGTACATACAAGTGTATTCCTCCCAGAAATGTAGGCTTGCCATAATTTCCATAAAGATTATCCCTTTTATCTTCTATTTTGCTAGGAAAGAATGTTTTCCTCCTAGTAAGTTAGCAGTCCTACACTCAGTTTCCTAATAATATATAATATCTAATAATGATATTTAACATTTGAGTTCTTACTATATGCCAAGCACTTCACATGTATTCATGTTTTTAATATTTTTACAAAACTGCGAAGTGAGTGCTTCTATTATATCCATTTTACAGATGATGAAATTGATGTATTTAGGTTAAATAACTTGCTTAAGCTCACACAGTGAATCTGACTCTTTAACCCAAGAAGTCTAGGTTTAGAGTCTATGTTTTTAGCCACCACTCTTAGTTAGTTAAATCAATATTTGCTGGATACACAAATGACTATTTTCTATAACAATGCATTCTCTCGAATGCAGTTGTCTTTTTCTTTTTAGAAAATCTACAGATTTTTTCTCTCTAGAAACTCCTTCAGAAAAAAACAAAACAGTGTAGGGCTGAAGACAGTGGTGCTGAGAAATGAATAGCAAGCCACCTTGCTGATGATTGGAGAATGACCGAGAATAGCATTCAGGCATGCTCTGTTATGTAGCCTGATTCATTGCATAAGAAAACTAGTATATTTTATCTATAAGGGTGATCTAGATATGATCAAACTCTACTCCAATCTCCACTGTACCTCTCAATCACAGTCTATTTCTCCAATTAGAGAACTCGAAGCAACTCATCTGCTATCTTAACTCAAATTAGTCAGTGTTTTAAGACTGAAATATAAATGTTGTGAGATAGGAAATGATTGATTATATCCAGAAACCC